CTATCGGTGGTGCTCACAGTTGATGCTCGTGCTGTAGTCAGATTTACTCCTTTAGGGTACGGTGCGAACGGTAACACCTGTGTGTGTTTGTAACCCCACATGGAGGACCCTGCGGTAGCTTGAGTCACCCATCCCTGTCTCCCCCAGAGCCACTGACCTGCTCTCCCTCCACCACCTGGGCCCCTGAAGGGCGTCCGGGCCCTGTGCCTCTTTCCCGCTGAGTGGGGTGGCCAGCGACGTCGGCACTGTCCTTGAGCGGGGCTGTTGGCGACAGGCTTTCGTGTGCACCTGAGCATGATTGTGGGCCTGCCGTGTCCCACGCATGTCACTTGTCAGGAGCGGCCAGACCGCTCCCACCCCACCTGCACTTGTCAGGATCTTTACCGTGGCCGCTCTTGGTGGTGTGTCCTGGCGTCTCCTGCTTCTGTTTGCGTTTCTGGAATGCCCTCTCTGCTGAAGTGCTCACGCTTTGGGGCGCCCCCACGGGGTGCTCGGCCTTCAGAGGCTCCTTGCCTTGTGCACAGGTTTCACCTGTCGTGGGGCCTGAGTGCCTATGAGTCCGGCTCCTGCTGACCTGCTCTCCTGACGCAGGGATACAGCAGTGTCCAGCCTCAGATCCAGTGGTTACCGAAACCACATGGGGTGATTTCAGTTGTTAGTGATGTTACTGTCTGAGGGTCACTTCCAAAGACCCCAGGCGGGGGACAGGGTTGCGTTGCAGGACAAGGCAGCATGGGTGGCCTTGGTCACGTGACACGCAGACCTGCGTGTCTTCTGCCCATCGGCCACGGATGTCTGTCTCCCCCCTTACCCTCTTCCCTGCTTCGTCCCTTGGCTGGTACTTGGGGCAGGAGTGAGGGGACAGGGTCCTGACAGCAGGCGTCCTGGGGCCCCTCCCTGTGGACTGGAGGCCCCAGCTGCTGGCTGGAGAGGGCCCGAGGGAGGGGGAAGCCTGGGCCTGCTGCAGGGCAGCCTCTGTCCATGCAACCCTGGAAGTCCCCTCAGCGCTAAGGCCAGAAGGAGCGATTTGCTAGGGTACGTGTCCGTGTCTGGGAAGGCTGTCCTGATGTCGTGCTCCTTCCATGAGGGGACGTGGAGAGGTGAGGCGGCAAGACCACTGAGCTGAGCCTTCGCCCTGTGGCCCACCTGTGTCCCCACATGGGGGGCGTGGGGCATCACCTTGCACTTGGGACCCCCCCAGTCTGCTCAGCCCTGTGTTGGGGGGACGGCAGCAGAGACAGGGTGTTTGCCCCCACTCGGTGGGGGTGCCTTTCACAGCCCCCAGGCCGTACACGTGGCTCGTTTCGGGAGTTTAGCCGCGTTCTCCCATCACCACCAGCAGCATCTGGCCCCACTAACCAGGGTGCTGGCCTTGCAGACTGTCCAGGACGGCCGCCAGTTTCTGAAGTACGTGGACCCCAGGCTGGGAGTCCCACTGCCCGAGAGGGACTACGGGGGAAACTGTCTCATCTATGATGCCCACAATGAGAGCGACCCCTTCCACAACGTCTGGGTATGGGCGGGCCCGAGGGGCCCAGTGCTCAGGGTGGGGCCCGGAGTCCAGTGCTTAACAAGCTCCCAGGTGCTGACCTGTCCTAGATGTTTCTGGAACCCCAGTCATTCTGCAGATCGGACGGGGTGGGGGTGGCGTGGGCCCTGGCAGGCGCTGGCCTCCCTTCTGCTTGACCAGGGGCTCCCTTCAGCTCAGCCCACTTGGAGCAGGGGAGGGGGACCCAGGGGCCATGCAGCCCACATGTGGGGGCCCTGTCCCAGCTCACCGGGGTGCGGGTCCCTGCCTTCCAGCCTGGAGACTTGGTCTCGGCCCAACCCGTGTGCTTCACTGAGGGGCCCACTGCTCTCCTCGGTGGTCAGGGTGCTGTCTGCCTGTGCACAGGACCCTAGCTTTATCCCCCGGTCCAGCCGGCGCTGCTCAGAAAGGCTGAGACCGTCCCAGCAGTCCTGGTTTGGGTGGGAGCCGGGCCCGGGGTGCATGCGGGCTGTACACGAGGCTGGTATCCTACCCCCCAGGACAAGCTGGACGGCTTTGTGCCTGCGCACTTCCTTGGCTGGTACCTGAAGGTAAGACGACCTCGTCAGAAGGACACCCTGGGTCTGTCCTGTGTTCCAAGTCCGTTGCCTAGCCACGTGCTGACGTTGAGAGCACTGGAGTGTGGTGGGCGAGGGCCTGGGGGCCGTGGCCCCGACCTGTGCTAGTCCCTGGTGTCATGGTCTCCAGCCAGCGCCTCACCCTGCTCGGGAGGGCGCTGGGGGTGTCTCCCCTGGAGGGTCTGATGCTCTGCCACGGCCCTCAGACCCTGATGATCCGTGACTGGTGGATGTGCACGATTGTGAGCGTCATGTTCGAGTTCCTCGAGTACAGCCTGGAGCACCAACTGCCCAACTTCAGCGAGTGCTGGTGGGATCACGTAGGTGCCCTGGGGGGTCACCGGGCGCAGAGGCCCTCAGGTGGGGCAGGACAGGGCGCTCACCTCCTCCCTGGTTCCTGCCCCCAGTGGATCATGGACGTGCTTGTCTGCAACGGGCTGGGCATATACTGCGGCATGAAGACCCTCGAGTGGCTGTCTCTGAAGACGTACAAGTGGCAGGGCCTCTGGAACATTCCAACCTACAAGTGCGTCTCTCTCGAGCTGCCGCCCTGCTCCTTGGGGGCCAGGCCTCCCCGTGGGGCCTGGAGGTGCTGCTCGTGCGGCCTTCTGGGGGTGCAGGCAGTGGACCAGGATTTTGCCCGCTTCCTCTGTGCACGGGGGCGTGCGCACACGCGCGCACACACCCCCCCGCCAGGGCCCTCGTGGTGGCCGGGAGGTGGGCCTGAGCACCACCCTGCCCGGTCAGCTCCTCTTCATCCTCTCCCGGCCCTTCTCGGAGGTCTCCGGGTCACCCCTCTGGGGCTGTCCTCCTCGCATCGTACAGGCACTCGGTCATGTTTACTTCGAGGTTTGAAGCGGCAGTCCAGGAAAGGGCACGGGGAGTGGGGTCTCGCTGCCCATGCATTGTGGGTGCCTGGGGCGGAGGGGCTGGTGGCGGCACAGGGAGTGAGCGGCCCCTGGGCTCAGAGCACCTGGCATGGCTGCCTGGTGGGGCAGGGGCACCCCAGGGTGACCGGCACGTGTGCTCCCAGGGGCAAGATGAAGAGGATCGCCTTCCAGTTCACGCCCTACAGCTGGGTCCGCTTCGAGTGGAAGCCCGCCTCCAGCCTGCGCCGCTGGCTGGCCGTGTGTGGCATCATCCTGGTGGTAAGGCTGGCCAGCCTCGTGTGCGTGCCTGCTGGGCGGCCCGGCTCGCCACCCACCCTCCCATGTCCCCCAGTTTCTGTTGGCAGAACTGAACACGTTCTACCTGAAGTTCGTGCTGTGGCTGCCCCCGGAGCACTCCCTGGTCCTCCTGCGGCTGGTGTTCTTTGTGAATGTGGGCGGTGTGGCCATGCGGGAGATCTACGACTTCATGGATGACCCGTGAGGGCCCAGGGTGGGTGGGGCAGGCCTGGGCACACTTGGCGTTGCCACCCCTGGGGCACAGCCGCGGCGCCCTCAGCCGAGTGCCCTCCCCCCACAGGAAGCTCCACAAGAAGCTGGGCCAGCAGGCCTGGCTGGTGGCAGCCATCACGGCCACGGAGCTGCTCATCGTCGTGAAGTACGACCCGCATACGCTCACGCTGTCCCTGCCTTTCTACATCTCCCAGTGCTGGACGCTTGGCTCTGTGCTCGTGCTCACCTGGACCATCTGGCGCTTCTTCCTGCGGTGAGTGGTGTGGGCCTCAGCAGGCCATCGGCCGTCTCCTGGGCTGGGTCAACTGGTGTCTGGGTCTTGCGGTCCCTCCCGGTGACTGTGTGAGCGTCCCTGCGAGGGGCAACTTTGCGGGACCTCCATGGGCCACCTGGTGGTGACATGGCTCCCGCCATCCCCAGGGACATCACCCTGAGGTACAAGGAGACTCGGCGGCAGAAGCAGCAGAGCAGGGGCGACCAGGACAGAGCCGTGGGCAACACGGACAGACACTTGCCTGAGCCAGAAGACCCCCCGGGGCCTGTGGAGGCAGAGAGGGAGGGGGCGTCAGCCCCAAACTGATGCACCCCATGATTGCCTGGAGCCAAGGCTCGCTGGAGCCTTCCAACAGGCCTCGGCCCTTGTGGTTTTATCACACCTTCTCCCGTGCGCACGGTGGGGCCCTGCGGGGTGGGGGCCGAAGGTGGCCCTCGTCCTGGTCATGTGTGGTGTGTGCACATGTGAACACGGTATATATGGGTGTGGACACGTGCGCTCCACGTCCCTGAGGCTTCTCTGGGGCTGACAGGTGTGGCTGGGCTTGCCCTGGGCAGCCGGTCTCCTCCCCTTTCTGCACCTTCGGCCCGCTGGCCCCTGGGCTGCACCAAGCCCTCGGCACCAGACGGCCCTAGACGGCCCTGCCCCGCACAGGCGTCACGGTGCCTTTCTCTGCTCCCTGGGCCCCTGGCCACTCTGAGGCCATGGGTGTCCGTGCCCTGGCAGCACATGTGAAGGACACCCCGTGATGGCTAAGAAGGGGCAGGTCTGAGCAGGCAGCCCTGAGCCATTTCCCACAAACGTAAGAGTGGGAACGGGGCCAGAGGTCACCGGACTGGTCCCTCGAGGACCCTGTGCCTGAGGTGGGGAGGAAGGGGTGAGGGTCGTCTTCATGAGCAACCAGAACAAGTAAAGCAGCGATGAAGGTCTGCAGCAGTGTGTCCTCCTCACTGGCTCCCAGCCTCTGCTCCATCCTGCGCCCAACGCAGGGGCTGCCCAGCGGGGCGGGGGGAGGGGGTGGGTCAGGGCCAGTGCTGGCATCTGTCCCCCTGGGTGGCTGGCGGTGTGCAGACGGACAGCCCCGGGTGCTGCATCTGGCAGGGGGTGAGGGAGGCGGCTGTCCTGGACGTGGGTGCATGCACATAGCCGGAGAGCCCTCCTGAAAACACACCTGGGATGCCGCGCCTGCTGGGGACCCCACGAAAGGACAAGCACTCCTCTTGCCAAAACAAGTGCTTTAATAAAGTATCTAAAACTTTCTTGCAGAAGCGAGTTATTAGAGCGTTTCTCTTCGTTCAAAGCTAGGACACCAGCGGGAGAGCCCCGGGGAGGGGCCGGGTTTCAGAAGATGATCCTCAGGCTGGGCTTGCGCCCCTCCAGAGCCTGCAGGCTGTTCTCCGTCTCGTCGCTCCAGTATATGTCGTAGAGACTGTGCAGGCGGCCGGGGAGGGGGCGGGATGCGAGGTCAGGGCCGCCACCGCCCCCGCACGCGCCACTCTCACCACCTGGTTCCCCCCTCTCCGCCACTCACACCAGCTGCTTCCTCCCCCCCCAACCCGCCCGCACGCGCCACTCACACCAGCTGCTCCGCCCTCACACATCCGTCACTCACACCAGCTGCTCCGCCCCCTGCCCGCATGCGGCACTCACACCAGCTGCTCCAGCGTGCAGCCCGGCTGCTCCACGCTCGCCATCAGCTGCAGGATGCCCTGGTCGTCCATGCAGTTGTTGCTGAGGTCCAGCTCCCGCAGGCTGCGATTGGCCAGCAGGAGTGAGGCCAGGCTGGCGCAGCCACTGTTGGCCACATCGCAGTCCCCCAGGCTGGGCGGAGAGCAGGGCACAGGTCAGGACAAAAGGGTCCGCACCAGGCCCGTGCCACAGAATGCGGGGTGACAGGGATGTCCGCGCAACACGAGGTCCACAGTGTGCAGAGCCCCAGGGTCATGGCTGTTCCCAGACCTCCAGCTCGGGAGCTCATGGGGTTCCCACTGTGGCCCCGGCAGACGTCAACACCAAAGACAACAGGTGCGCACAGCTCCCCTCCACAGGCACAGTAGTTGGACTGGGCTAAGGCTGGCATACCTGGACTTAGGGCCACAACCTCCCTGGGCAGACGGGGGCTGGGGGGGGGGCACCAGAGAGCCTCATCCAAGCCCTCGCTTCCTCACCACTGTGTGCTGGGAGCTGGCTGGGTGGGTGGGAGCTGCCGAGGAGGCAACCAGAGGCCAAAGGCGCAGGGATGCAGGTATGGGGTGCACAGAGGGTCGGGGCCTCCAGAGTGAGGACAGCGGAGAAGGGCAGGCTCAGTGCCGCTGCCTGTGCCCTGACCCTCCACCTGCACCCACGCCCCACCCAGCATGGCCAGGCACCCCCAGAAACAGCAGTGAGAAGCAGAGACCAAGACGCAGAAAACAAAAACAAAACGTGTGACAGCAGAAACGAACGGCTGAGGCGGCGGGCTGCAAGCCGTAAGAACAGAAACTCAGGAGGAAAGAGAATGGTGCGTCAGGCCGCCGGGCCCTGAGACCCAGCAGTGGGATCCTGAGTGCTCCACAAGTAAAAACGAGATTAGAAAATCCCTCAAAGGCACACCACTTTAGTGCAACCAAGCGTCCAGCCCAGTAAAGGAACCAGGACCCACACGAGCCGAAGAACACGGGCCTGCAGGACCCAGCAGAGCAGCGTGCAGCAGAGACCAGCGGGCGAGTTCTGGGAAGTACTAGAGATGGCGGCGGGGGGGGTCCTGGGAGGAGCCCCCGCACGGACCCGTCAGACTGAGCGCCTAGCCAGCATGCTGCCGCCCCGCACACACGTGCCGTCCCCGGGCACGCTCACCAGAGCACCTGCAGCGTGGTGCCAGGCTGACTCAGGCCCTGGCAGAGCTCCTGGAGGCCAGAGTCCCCCAGCTTGTTGTTACTCAGCTGAAGCTCCACGAGGTGCTTGTTCTGGGTCAGCATCGTGCCGAAGTGCTGGCAGCTCGCGGCCGTGAAGCTGCAGGACTTCACCCTGGGCGAGTCAGACAGGACCGGGGCCTGACTGGGGCCCACACCTCTGGGGTGCTCTCGGAGGCCCCTGTGGACCTGAGCATGAACCCCCCAACCCCTGCGCCCCAGAGACACCCAGCACCTCCCCCACCCCTTTGCAGAGGCACCTGCATCTCGAAGGCCCCGCACCCCCGACTTGCCCTCAGGCACCGAAGCTGCCCTGGCCCTGGGCCTCGGGGCCCCAGCAGCACCCGCGTCCACGGGCTGCCCTCGGGCCCCGGCTCGGCACAGGCCCAGCCTCCCGCTGGCCACCGCCCGGACCGCACTCACCACAGGGACTGCAGCCGGCAGCCAGGCTCCCGCAGGCTGTCACAGAGCAGCCGGGCACCCTCATCCCCCAGCACATTGCCCGCCAGGCTCATCTCCTTCAGGCTCTCCTTGGCCCCGAGGACGCGGCACAGGTCTCTGCAGCCCGCGGTGGTGATGTCACAGTCCCAGAGCCTGCAGGGCCGGGGACACGTCACCACAGGGCCCCCCGAGGCGACACGGCCGACCTTCTCAGACACCCCCCAGCTGCCCACTGAGGCCGGGGCCCTCTGCAGGAGCAGGGCGGGTGCTGACTCACCACAGGACCCTGATCTGGCAGCTGGGGTGCAGCAGGCTGGGGCACAGCGTGGCGATGCCCTGGTCACCCAGCTTGTTGTCACCCAGGTCCAGCTCCTGCAACGAGGGCTTGGAGGCCACGACACCACACAGGTCCTCACAGCTGGCCGACGTGAGGCCGCAGTTCTCCAGCCTGGAGGCACAGGAGGGCCGGCTGGGTTGGGGAGCCCCTGCGCGCCCCCCACCCGACCACGGACCCTCCCCAGGCAGGCCCAGCGCTTACTTGAGCGCCTCCAGCTGGCAGGCAGAGTCCACCAGGCCCCGACACAGCACCCGCACACCAGCCTCACCGACCTCGTTGTTGCTCAGCACGAGCTCCCTGAAGTGCCGCTTGGCCCTGAGCGCCGAGGCCAGGGCCTCACAGCTGGCGGCCGTCAGGTTGCAGTACTCTAGCCTGGGGGTGGGCAGGTGTCAGGACCTCCGTCCGGTCTCCTCTCCTGCCCCGGGCTGCAGGGCCTGTGAGACTGGAGGGCTGCTGGGCAGGGACAGCACAGCAGTAGCGAAGGGGCCATCTCCTGGGAGCGTGGGTGCTCCAAGCCTCCTGGAAGCCAGCCACTGACCACGAGCCCCACCCCACACCTGGGATGCACCAGACCTGGGAGAAAGAGGCCAGACTCCCCTCCTGCATCGCTGAGCCCATCGGCTCTTGACGTGGGGTTACAGGCCAGCTCTCAGCTCTGGGCCACAGCCCCAGCATCACACAGGACGAGGATCTGCAGGTCTGTGAGAGCCCCTTCCTGAAAGCTCCCCGCAGCTAATGTGCTGGGGCAGGGGCTCACCCAAAACCAGAGGGATGGGGGTGCAGGGCTAGGGGTGGCCTGGGTGACAGATCACACACTCACTGAAGCTTCTCAAGGTTGCACAGGGGGTCCAGGAGTCCTCTGCACAGCAGCCGCAGGCCCGCATCCTCCAGCGGGTTGTCACTGAGCTGCAACTCCCGCAGGGTGGGCAGGGAGCGCAGCACATCAGGTAGGACCCCACAGCCAGCCTTGGTTAGGCAGCAGTTCTGGAGGCTGGAGCACACCCAAGCTGGCCATCAGCAGGGTCCCCGTCAGCTGTGGCCCCCATGCAAACTGCCCTCTGTCCTCAGGAGCCCCCACTACCCCTGAATCCCAGGCGAGCCCACCAAGCTCGGCCTTGTAAAAGAGGGCTTGCTCCTCCTCCTCCGGACAGGGCTCTGGGGTCTCCAGGCCAAGGACAGAGAGCAGGAGGGGCTGCTCAGATGCACCACAAGGCCCAGAGGAAGCTGGGCCATGAGCCCAGGAATGACAGGCAGGGCTGGCAGGAGCACACCCCCCACAGGGGAACAGGGGCCTAGGACGAGGCAGGAAGGGACCCCACGCTCCAGGACCTTTGGCTGAAGCCCAGACACCTGCTGCTGCCTCCGGTCCACCCACAGCTGCCTGCAAGCCCCAGTTCCCTGCACTGTCCAAGTAGGTTCAGACCTGAGCCTAGGGCCGGGCAAGCACCTGGGACCACGTGGATCACCCAGGCTCACCTGAGCTTCTGGATCTTGCAGGTGGGGCTCTGCAGGCCCTGGAGCACCAGGTGCACACCGGCATCACCCAGCTCGTTGGTGCGAAGGCTCAGCTCGGTCAGGGAGGGGTTGGCTTGGAGGGCAGAGCTGATATCCTTGCAGCGCACCTCCGTGAGGCCACAGTCATCCAGCCTGTGGAGGGGACACGTGGTCATTTCACACAGCAGGTCCTGGCCCATTAGTGGAACTCAGCGTGGGGGGGAGGTCACAACCAAGACATTTAAAAAATGAAACAGGGGGGCTCCTGGCTGGCTCAGTCAGAGGAGCATGCAACTCTTGATCTCAGGGTGGTGAGTTCAAGCCCCACACTGGACATAGAGATTACTTAAAAAAATAAATAAAAAAAGAAACAGAGAAGTGTATGGATCATCTCACGGTGCTTTTGTTGCAGGCCCTGGCACATCTACAGATGCACGTCTGGGGCCCCGTGCTCTCTGCGCCTTCCTGTGGGGCACAGTCAGCACATGAAAGCTCCTGTCTATCTCTAGAGAAAAACCAAACCAAGGAAGTGCTGGGAAAAGGACACAGCACCTCAGAGGGACACAACCGGAGGGGCTCACCAAGATGGGCATGCACAATGCTGATTGTAACCCAGGATCAAGGCTGCCACAATTAGGGAAACACCCAACAAATACAGGTGGGAGAAAAGCCACCTCTTGCTCACAAGAGAAGGACAATAGATAAATGTGGAAGGAATGAAGAAATTAAAAATCCCAGTTAGGCAAAGGCCCAATAACAACTGTTCTGGCAAGATCCACCGATGAATGACAAAATCAGTAGGCAAAGGTTTGAGCAGTCTTAAGGCACCTCACCCAAAATATTTATCAATTACCAAGAGAAAGCAGTGACTTTAGAGTGGAGAGCAGGTGGTCATGGTGACCATTAGGGGTGACCCCATGGTGCCATAAATCGACAGGATACAAGATGCCAGGCAGACACCACAGCATTTGTGTATTCCCACGAAAAACCTGTGTCTCAGCCATGACATCTCCAGAGCCTGAGCAGACTCAAGAGTCAGATGGCCAAGGACAAGGAGGGACAGAGGGACTGTCACAGGGAAGGGGCCAAGGAGACGCGAAGTTAAATGCCTCAAGCGGGATCCTGCACAGACCCGGGCACAGGGAAAGGACACAAGGGGAAGAGCTGGTGACGTCCGAGTCCAGGCAGCCGTGGGGGGGGCTCTTCGTTTTCCTGTCTAACTCTTTATAAACCTACAACTATTTCAAGTAAGTAAAAAAGAGAAAAATAAGCAGGCACTCATCTCCTGCTTATACACCCTGGGGAACCTGTGGGTTTGAGAAGCTCAACAACAAAACCCAGTCTTGACTCCCAGCAGGGGCAGTGGATGGGCAGCGAGCGCCTCCCACTCCCACAGGAAAGAGACAGGCTGCTCTGCCCACCTGCCCTCAGAGCCTCCAGGCCACCTCCTGCCCCCCCAGCCTGAGCCAGGAAAGGTTTACATTTTCAAATAGTGGGGAGAAAGTACAGTAACATCTCATGCCATGTGAAAATCATATAAAATTTACACTGTGAGTCCAGAATCCCAGTGCTCTCGGAGCACACCCAGCCCACTCGTGGGTGGTGGCCGAAGGCTGCAGAGCCACGGCAGTGAGGTGGAGAGCCTGCCTGCTAACCCCCGCACACACACACACCAACAGGGCTGTTTTCTACCTGACCACCTCGTACTGCTGGATCAGAGGCAGGAGCTCCGTCCACCGGGCATCACTCAGCTGCTGACACTGGATGTCGAGATTCATGGTTCGAGGCGAAGTGTTTTCTAGGTAGAAGGCAGAGCGGGGAGAACATCTTAGCCAAACTCTCTCAACGTTTGATAGGCCAGAGAGCCAGAAGACGGAAAAAAGTCCTAATAGGACCCCCAAGGGTGGGGGTTGGGGGGTTGATGTTTCAGAAGCCACAGCCTCTCCCTGGCCAGTGCCCTTCTCCACCTCAGCCTCCAGGAGCAAACATGGGGGCAAGCAAGGGGACGCTGCAGCCACTGGGCTCCCCTGACAAAGGGCACCACAGACCACAGAGCTTGGGGACACAGCTGTGGGAATGGAGGCAGCCTCACCTCTCGGTCTCCTGCACTTAGCCTTTATGGGCCCCTCCTACCCAGGAGAGCCAGGACCAGTGCTGGCCATCTGAAGCCCCTTCCTCTCACTTGCCTGGGTAACACCACAGTGTAGAGACCCAAGCAAGTGGAGCACAAGGACCAGCAACCCGAGGAGTGCCACAGCCCCACCTGGCCAGAGAGCCCCCCACCTGGCATCTGAGGAGCATGGACCTGAGCGGCTTGTGAGAACCCGAGGCCTCACCACCCTGAGGCAGCTGGCGGGGAGGACAGGTGCCTGTGGTGAGCTAACAGTTCTTCAAGGGGCACCAGCGACAGGTGCCCTGGAAAGGGCTGAGGAGGTAAAGTGGGGACCCCAGGCCCACTGCCTGCACTCTGGGGGTGCACTCATGGGTGGCCACTCAGAGTGCCTATGTCCACAATCCCTTTCTGGGGGCTGGGAACTCCAAACAGGCCAGGACACATCCTCTGCCCCACCGTGGGTCAGCCCAGGCCCACACAGAAATCAGGCAGGACTTTGGCAAATGAGTCTTGCATGGGAGGTCACAGGCCCTGAAACACCTCACCAGGAACAGCACAGAGCTTGAAGAAATGATTAACTGTCTACTGATACCAGAGTTTTGGGTGGGCGCTGACTGCACTGGGATGTTCCTGAGGCCCTGAAGGTGGGGGCCAGCAGAAGAGAGCATCCTGCTGGGATGGAGACAGGGAAGGGAGCGGGTTTCATTCAAGCGCAATCAGAAAGCCCAAGAAGGATTCACACCTGGAAGTAATGCCATTCAGCTGCCCTTTAGAAAGGTCAGGACAAACAGGATGACTCAACCCCATGTGAGGCTCCTGGTTCTGTGAAACCCCAGTTTCCTAGAAATACTGCCTCGTTTGTGTTCCTGTTCCTGGCCGTGCCTAGCAGGGCCTGGCCTTGCTGAAGAAGTGAGGACTCCCCGCCTGGACCCAGGCCAGTTCAGAGCCTACAGCCAGTCCGGGACTGCCAGTAAAGGCTCTGAGTGCCAGCCAGCAGGCAAGATTCACGTGTGCACATCCTAACTGATGAGCCAGCCGAAAACAGAGGGGAGGAGGTCTCGGTAACTGGCCCTGTCACACAGCCAGCAAAAGGAGGAACCCAGAGTCCGCCCAGCCCACTGCCCCGGCCACGTGAGCAAAAACCAGACCCGCCCCAGCGGCGCCAAGGGTGTGGTCAGTAAATCCCCTTCTCAAGAATCCTTAGTCGTCATCACTGGAGAAGGGGACTGGGAGGGGCGAGGTCGGAGGGACCCTCTCTCCCAATCCAGTCTGACATCTGGGGGCTGGGCTCTCCCGAGGTGATCTGAGGTTAACGAGAGCGGGAGGGCGCCTGGGTGGCTCAGTTGGTTAAGCGTCTGCCTTCGGCTCAGGTCATGATCCCAGGGTCCTAGGATCGAGTCCCGCATGGGGCTCCCGGCTCAGCGGGGAGCCTGCTTCTCCCTCTGACCCTCTCCCCTCTCATGCTGTTTCTCTCTCTCTCTCTCTCAAATAAATAAATAAAATTTAAAAAAAAAAAGAGAACGGGAAACCCGAACGAAGCAACTGAGCGCACCCCTCCCCCACCCCACGGCTTGACCAGACCCTGGGGGAACCTCTTGGTTGGTCCTTGGGACTAGGGGGACACTTCTTAACCTCTATGGGTCACGGATCCCTTCGAGAACCCCATGAAAACTGAAAACGCCCCCCAAAGACGCCGCGTCTCACTGCTTCTCCCCGAGTCAGGACCCCCACCAGTTGGGCTGCTCCCTCGGGTCCCAACAGGACACTTAATGCTTTCACGTGTGAGAGCGGGCCAGTCCGCAGGGCCGCGCCCAGGGGACAGAGCAGGGGGCGGCGCCCTCGGCCGAACTGGAAGACAGGGGCGCGTCCCGGGCCCACTGAGCCCCAAGCCAGGGGCGCCCCGGGGTCCGCGCGAGACCGCCCAGGGCCGTCACCGCCCTCCGTGCGCACCGGAGGCTGCGCATGTGTCCCAGGCCCGCGCGGAGTCACTCCGCGAGGAAGCGTCCGGTCGGGCCTCGCGCGCGGGGATCCCCACCCCCGCTCGCCGCGCCGCTTCCCCGCACCCTGGCACCGCGCAGCTCACCTGCTGCCGAGC